AGTAAGACTACATACAGGGAATCAACTTAAATTTTGCCTTTATTTATTGGTAAAAGACGGTATTTCACTGATAACAGGAACTAGACGCATATCTGGATCTAGACTTGCTGATTATAATAATATTGAAGATCAAGTAAAACTAAAGAGGGAGATTTATGATTTTTTTATTTTGGCATTTTACAATCTAAAACCAACAATCTAATTCCAAGCTAGAAAAGGAGCTGTGACCTCCCTCCGCCTTTAACGATTTTAATTTAAGAATTTGGCGTAAACTTCCACACATACACGGCCCTGATTGTCTCCTTCAGCCCAGTTCCTCAGATCTTCCCCGTACCAAATCTTCATCTCTTCATTCTGAGGGAAGTTGAATGGCGTGCCGAAGTTGGTGAAGACGAGTTCTTTGGATTCGACGCTGTGAGTGAAGGGAAGCCAATACCAAAGACCGTGATGAGGCCTTTAAAAAAAAGACATTTGATTTAATACAAAATTTCCCTACGTGTCTTGTGAGACTATATTTGAAATAATATTTGAGACTTATTTCGCACGTATATTATGATTATGGAATCTTACAGTCGATGGAGATGATTATAAGTGTAGTTCTCATAGCGCGGAGAAGAATTGCCTACCGATCAGTGTAGTTACGCGGATGCACGTTGCTTTCTAGTTTATGGTTAGTATATGGCACCGAATTAAACTAAGTTTTGTTAAGGGCGGACAACAGTGAGAGATTCCTGAAAGTAAGCATGTAAATTAACTTGACCCGATCAATAACTGTTAAGACTTACCCGAGATTCTCTTTTCTTGGGAACAGAATCTGGTCATAGCGATCAGTCACAATCACATTGAGAGGATTTGGTTTGAACGGTGCGTAGTGACCACATCCCCAACGGCTGTCATATTCAACTAAAGAAACACAACGTATTCGTCCGGACAGATGCACCAGTTTAATTCCCACTACGAGACCGGCTTTGACGTAGTTATGAAGACTGCCAGGCCTATTGTGTCTTCCTTCAAAGCATACCTGATTTGCACTTATCTTTATCCAATCAGTGTAAGAAGACGATTGATCTTCTACGAAAGAAAGGATGAAATCTAAATTATTAATTTCCCCGCTGTCTTTAAAGAAAGAAAATATCTATATCTATTCCTTTCGAGTCATAAAAAGAAAACCGTCCTTGTTGTTACGAGGGTAGCACTTAGAGACCTAGAGATCCGACGACGAACTACGTGAACGAGTACGAGTGTTTAACTTTTAAAGAGAGGCACTATCTTTTTGTAGTCGTGATATCGTACGTACATTGAAACTTTAGATTGTAAAAAATCGGAAATCGACTACGATTTAGTGTTAACCACGTGCACAGGACCAATTTTAAAACTCGTACTCGTACTCGATCTCGTACTCGTCGTATATAAAGGTCGCTAGTAGCCAGTGGCTAACAAACCTGCGACCTTCGTTCCGTGATGGAATTCGAATTTTGGAGTTGATTTAATTTATTTTTGTCACACGGTTCACTTTACTTTAACGTACCTTGAATTACAGCCGTGGAAGAAACGAAGGAGCAAAACGACAAGACAGCTAGGCCAACGTAGAACAACATGATGCTGTGATAAGACTGGAATTGTTTTACTATGAGCATACACACCCCGGCAAGACTCTTATTTATAGTAATCTTTAAACTGGCTAATTGGTTTTATTAGTTTTATAATAGAAAAGTGTTTTATGGGTTTTGTTAAAATATTGATGGATTCGACAGATACATCCTTTGCCGCTGGCTATCTTGCTAATGCAACTTATTATACATGATTCTAAATGCCTAGATAAATCGACTAAGAAAATTTACTGCCAAGTTAAAAAAGCAAGTAAAAAATTTTTTCGTCCGAAAGAAAAGTTTTGAAGAGTTGTTTGCGATGAGTAGGCTGAAGATCCGAATGAAAAGTTTTGAAAAGTTGTTTTCGTTCGATGAGTAGGCTGAAGATCGCCCCTAAGGACAAGTCAGTACTAATTGGTCTTTAAGCTATTTGTTTTTGAGTGCACGTGTGAAAGTTGCCACAGGCAAACTGATCTAGCAATTCGATATGTTTTGTTTTTTACTGCCGTGAATCTTTGTGTTTTCTACCACCCTTTCCTTTCCTTGCTTTGATCTGTCCTTCCTTTATTCCTTCCTTAGCTTCCTCCCTCCCTCCCTCCTTCCCTCCCCCCCCCCCCCCCCCCCCCCCCCCCCCCTTTCTTTCCCCCCTCCCTCTCTTTCCCCCCTCCCTCCTTCCTTCCTTCCTTCCTTCCTTCCTTCCTTCCTTCTTTCTTTCCCGTTTCTTCCTTCCTTCCTTCCCCATTTGTACAGCTTGCCCTGGAAAACTGAAAGAAATTTTTGAACGAGAATTCTGATCACTAATTCTTTTCGTTTGTCTATAAGTTAGGTATGGTAGTGACATCACTATGGAGCGATTGCGGTCAATTGCAAGTATCAAAGCTTCGATTCAAGTTATTTGTTGTTTCAGTTATAGGCTATTTCCAAACCCCGTAGTTGCGCCAAAATGGCCCTAAAACTGAAAAAGAGAAAGAATCTTGATAGTTAGTAGGAAGGCAAAGTCTTACTCTTTATGCATAATATGAAATAATTACGATATATAAAGAACGGTAGAACAGGTTTTGAGTCATTCAATAAAGAATCTAAAATTAAAGATTGAACAACTTTGCAATTGGTAGATAATTTGATAAAATAATAATTGACGCAATAATTGAAGGTTTGTAAAAGGTTATGAGATGCCGAGAAACGATGAAAACGTTCGATATTTCAGTCAGTCGGTTATAGGACAGTCGTGATATCGATTTTCAAACATTAACATTGTTATTTATATGATAATTGAAGGTTTGTAAAATTAAGATAAAGTGAGATCACCGAGAAACGATGAAAATGGTGTCATGTTTGCCGTTGGCAACAACTTTTTTTTTCTTTTTTCTTTTTCTTTTTTCTTTTTCTTTTTTCTTTTTCTTTTTTCTTTTTCTTTTTTCTTTTTCTTTTTTCTTTTATATATATATATATATATAACTTTTTACATGCTTGAACGCACTCTGACTATATAGATTTTCCGCAAAAATTAATATTAAACACAGGTGCCTTTGGGGATAATAAAACACTAAATATAAGAAGCCAAGCCCTTTCTGTTAACTTAACCATTAAACTAAAGGAGGACATTTCTATTCGGTGGTTGATACACCAAAGTAGTGCTCTGCTTTTTTTGTAGGATGAAAAAATGCAATTTTCAATCTGTCTATCAGTGTCTATCGTATGTGCTACCGACCAACAGGGATGGCCTTAACTTACGCTCGGTTTCAAAATCAAATCAAATCATTTTTTTATCAAATACACGGTAGGCTTTGAAGCTAGAAACTAAAAGTTGGGAGGTGTATAGTATTCTCCATACACACTCCTTCACTTCATTAATTTCCAGGGTGACAGCTATCTAGAATCCAAAAGAATGAAAGCTTTTTAAAAATTCCACTCTGCCAAGTCATGAGTATAATTGTGGGCATAAGCTTTTATCTCACAACAAAACACTTCATGACCAGTAATGGATATTATATTAATAGTCAAATTATTGGACAATTGACAATATTTAATGGCAATGAATTCTTATATTAGTGGATTGAAAACTAGCTGATGTTTGGGAGTGTATAGCAATTTATGCTTTCAACATTTACTGTTTCATTAGAAAGCATGCATTCTTGTTCATATTTTCTGAATCTTGTTTCAATCTGTAGTATTATCCTATTTTAGTTGGAGTAAATGTCTCGATCACTGTTTCCATTAGCACTGCTAAAAGCAAAACACTTATGAACTTGATTGACCATTAATATTGACTTATTGGCAAACCATTGTTTGCAACTGATCATCTCCATGTCATCCCTAATGGCCGTTTGTCTAACAATTCTGCTTTGAACATAAAAAAATCCGATATAACGATCGATAAAAGGTCACTTAGAATGAAGCGAAGTGGTTTCTTCTATAATATTTAATATCCTGAACAACCTCTGTGCTGATCTAAGTCAGGGCATACCTCCCTCACTAATCGAACCTTGAAACAACCTCTTGGCTGATCTGAGTCAGGAAATTGATATGGCCCCTTAAGGATTATATCATTCCTATTGGAGTAAATGAAATAACCTCTTAGCTGATCAAAGTCAGGGCAATAACCTCTTGCTGTGATCTAGTCAACTTCTGACGGCTGATCTAAGTCAGTAGGGCACGGCTAACTCACAGATCTCACAATTCAAACTGTATCTGATCCCTACCAACTTATCCAAGTGTAGCTAACTGTCTAACAGGGCTGAAACACTAAAAACTTCGCCTTAAGGATTACATCATCCTATTGGAATAAATGAGAACATCTTTTAAAGCTTTTGCTCAAAAATTAATGATACAATATTTTTTAAACAGACAATTTGCAGCAAAACGAATCAAAGCAGCTTTGTTCAAAACCATTTCATAATATAATTGTATACTTTAAGAAAAAACATCGAACGTTTTACACGGTATGGGAGTTCACTTCGAATAATTTAAATGATACCCGAAAAGACATAATAACGTGCTGACACACGGTGCAACATTGCGCGCAACAAATTTGAATCGGGGTGACACACATTGCAACAAAATCACGCAACATCGTTTGTGTCAGCCTGCTATGTTAAGATATTTGGTCAGCAGTTATAAATTTGGTGCAAGCTGATTGGCTGGAAATTTCAAAATGTTGCAGGTAATGTTGCAGCCATGTTCACATGATGAAATTTGTTGCGCGCAATGTTGCAAGAGTAGAGCGCGATTGAACTTCAGATTTGTTGCATGCAACGTTGCGTGCAACAAGTTATAAGTTTGGGGTAGACACGCTGCAACAGTCCTGTTGCGTGCAATGTTGTATGCAATGTTGCACCGTGTGTCAGCACCTTTAGTTTTCGAAAGGAAAATAGCAGGAATCAATTCAAGCTTTGCATAAATATTTCATATACTCGAAAACTAAAAAAAAGATCATGTAAAATTACATCTAAAATCAGTTTATAAAAAACTAATATTAAATATTAGAAATAAAAATAAAATGAAAATAAGTCCATAAAATAGATGCTCTGAAAAATTCACTTCCATAGCTTTTTTAGTTTTCGAATAACATGAATTATTTATGCGAAACTTCAATTGGTTCCTGTATTTTCTTTTCGAAAACTAATAATGAGCAGGGCCCGGTTGGACGAAGCCTGGATAGCGCTGTCCGACGGATAAATCTTATCCAGCGGATAAATTTATTGGAAAACAGCATCGATTTATCCATTGGATAAAAACTTATCCGCCGGATAGCGCTATCCGGCAGGCTTCGTACAACCTGGCGTAGATGGTCAGTATTATTCACCGTCAAAGCCTGAAAAAGTTTAATTCTGTGTTAAATAAAGCTTTCTTGGCGGACGTTTTCTGAGTACTTTTTTTTCTAAAAGTAGTCGCCCTTTTGAATATCAATGGAATCGTACCATTGTTTTTTGTATATGAAGGTTAACTTCTTATATTTGATTACCTCACATGATGGCTAACTTGCCTATTCTGATTCACAAACCTTTAAAAATAAAATAATATTTCAGAAAATGCTTCTAACTCTACTAATCAATGTTGTTATCTTTGACTGGGATTTTCTTTCTTCTTTGACCCGAAATGAAAGAAGTGTGGTAGAGGATTTTGATAATATTCTGAACAGATATAAGAATGTTTGTGTGATTGAATGGTTGATACATCATGACAAGAGTATGGCATTCTTCTTCCACCGCATGAGAGCGCTAGCGTTATGTTTCACTCAATTTATTGTTTACTTCTGTGTTGAACTCTATTTATTATTCTTTATAACAGACACGTTGACTACAAGGTCACGAAGTTGAATAAGGAAGATTCATATCTGTAGTAGTAATGTATAAGAAAAAGTGATCATAGTAGCTACTAAAGTAACAAACTTAGATGCTGCAGTTTCTGGTTGAATTACCTGCAGAAGGGTATATTTTTCACTGAGGTCATTAAGGTAAGACCGAATACTCCTCAGACATATTATAAATACAAACGTTTGTCCCTTACTTCTCATCACAAAGACGAGCAAACCCCTAGAAAGACAACGTACAGCTAATATATATCACTAACAGCCTTTTATTTTCTTTCACAATTACAGTTGTTCACTAGTAAATGTCGTCTCCAAGAGCTGTTGTAAGGAATAATAAAGAAACTAAGCTTCCAAAGTTCCTATTTCAAAAACAGGTCGACGATTTGATATAAGTATGCAAATATGTAAATTCACCCATATAATTATTTTTTTTTAGAAAGATGACCTTTTCAAGCCTCTTTTTTATGGCACGACAAAACATTGTCACCCTGCACGTACACGACATCTATTGACAGAGTAGAGCTACTTTCAAATATTTGCTGCGCCACTTCTGTACTAGCGATAAAAGAAGTTTTTTGTAAAGTTCTCCAGTATACCTTAACTTCTGCTGTATAACTTATACCTTACCGGTCTATATATGACCACGCCTATAATCTTATTTTATATATTACAGGTATTCCATTGTTCTAATGATATCGTGTTTCTTGCAGATCTTGGTATACCCCACGTTAGGAGATCAGGATGAATTTGAAACAGATCGTGTCTGTCCTTGTTAGTGTTTTATTACTGATGAGCAATAATGTTGTCATCGCAAGAACTAATATCACCGGCACAAGTAGGTATCATAATAGTGACAAAAAATATTTATTTTCCACACTCCATAGTTTTCGGTATTTTCGTCGACTAAAACACAAGCCAGTTTATTTAGCTATCATCATCATCACCATCATCATGTATCATCATCATCATTATCATCATCATTATGTGTCATCATTATCCTGATCACCATCATGTATCATCCCCATGTATCATCATCATGTATCATCAT